AAGGAAAATGATAGCAAGAAGAAAGGACAGAATAAGGAGGTAACCAGGAGGCAGAACAAAAATCAGTAAGACATGGACATGGGATTAAGGAAGAGAAACAGGTACATGGCGAGGAGTCTAGATAGATGGGGAGAGAGAGACTAGACTACAGGTGAACTTGGGAAGGAAGTTAATGGATTCAGGTTTAGAACAGGAAGTTTTAATGAAGAAAGAGTAAAACCCCAGAAGACTCCATAGCAATCAGCCTGCTTCAAGTACTTCTTTTTTATTATGATCCCTCTGGAAACCAGGCCAAGTCAGTGTTCATTCTCTGTGAAGATGGATAATTACCTTGTCTCTCTGAAAACATTTATAGTTATTAAAGGTTATGTAATAATTTGACTTCTTTTTAGGGTAAGCGATGAAGCTGATTTTTAAAATAAAAGCAAACCTCTACCTCACACTATAACACAGAAATTAATTACAGGTGGATCACAAATGTAAATATAAAAACTAAAGCCACAAAGCTTTGGAAGAAAATATAAGAGACTATCTTCACAATCTGGGGGTAGGCAAAGGTTTCTTAGATTATGCAAAGTACTAAACATAAAAGATAACATTGACAAATTGAACTTAATATTAAAAATTTCTGTTCATCGGGGAGCCTGGGTAGCTCAGTCAGTTAAGCATCTGCCTTTGGCTCAGGTGGTGATCCTAGGGTCCACCCTGGGATTGAGCCCCACGCTTCTCCCTCTCCCTCTGCTTACCCCATACTCTCTCTCACTCTGTCTCAAAACAACAAAAAACTTCTGTTCATCAAAATATGCCATAAGAAAGTGGGTAGATGGCCATACGCTGGGAAAAAACATTCACAAAATGGATCTTTAACAAAAGGCCAGAATCCAAAATATATAAACAGATCTTATAAATCATTAAGAAAAAAAAGATAGGGGATCCCTGGGTGGCGCAGCGATTTAGCGCCTGCCTTTGGCCCAGGGCACGATCCTGGAGACCCGGGATCGAATCCCACGTCGGGCTCCTGGTGCATGGAGCCTGCTTCTCCCTCCCTCTGCCTATGTCTCTGCCTCTCTCTCTCTCTCTCTCTCTCTCTCTCTGTCTATCATAAATAAATAAAAATTAAAAAAAAAAGATAAAACCCAATTTTAAAATGGGCAATGATGGGATCCCTGGGTGGCGCAGCGGTTTGGCGCCTGCCTTTGGCCCAGGGCGCGATCCTGGAGACCCGGGATCGAATCCCACATCGGGCTCCCGGTGCATGGAGCCTGCTTCTCCCTCCGCCTGTGTCTCTGCCTCTCTCTCTCTGTGACTATCATAAGTAAATAAAAAATTTTTAAAAAAATGGGCAATGACTAGCACATCACAAAGGAAGACAGAGCCATGAGCAAGATAAACTTCCACGTCATTAGTTATTTGGGAAATTTAAAGCTACCACAAGCTATATATAATACATACCACCAAAATTGCTAAAATTAAAATGACTGACCATACCAAATGTTGACAAGGATGTGGCACAACTGGAACCTCGTATATCACTGGTTGGAGTATAAAATGGCAGAACCACTTTGGAAAATTGTTTCTTATAAAGTTAAATGGACTTTTAACCAATAACCAACAATTCCACTGCCAGGTATTTACTCTAGAGAAATAAAAACATATATCCACAAAAAGTCTTGTGCAAGAATGTTCAGAGCAGCTTTATCCATAATAGCCCCAAACTGGAAACAACCAAATATCCATCATCTGGTGAAAGATTAATAAATTGTGATTTTTTCATACAATAAAATAATACTCAGCAATATAAAGCATCAAGCTTTTGATATACCCCAATTAACATGAATGAATTTAAAGGACGTTAATGCTAAGTGAAAGAAATCAGATACAAAAGAATACGTACAGTACAATTCCATTTATAAGAATAGGTAAAACTCTCCTTTAGGGGGGCAGTGAAGGGGCGGCAGGAATAAACTGGGAAGAGGCACAAGGGAACTTTCTGGGGTTTTGGAAACGTTTTCTAGGCACATGGGTTACATACGGTGTATGCATTTGTCAACTCAATGAACTGTACACTTCTGTGGATTTCCCCATATATAAATTATGCCTCATTAAAAGGAAAAAATAAACAACAAATGATCTCTAATATAAATACCTGAAATCAATATGCTTTATTACTGGACCATAGGAAACCTCTGTTATTCTAAGGCAAAAACAAAACATATCCACAACTTTTAAAAGATAAAAATAAATGGAAATGGGGCCGAGTAAAACATCACCCTGACCACAAACCAACCATAGGACTGTATGTAAATCATCTACGCTCTCTTGGCCTCTATTTTCTCAACTCTAAAACAGGAGTAAGAAAATCTACCTTACCAGGAATGTGTAAAAATTTAGTATAAGCAAAGCATCTAGTTTAATACCTGGCATACAGGGCCTTAGTAAATGGTAGTGGTAGGAAACAGCAATCAGAAAATGCATCAAAGGGGATCCCTGGGTGGCTCAGGGGTTCAGCGCCTGCCTTCCGCCCAGGGCATGATCCTGGAGTCCCAGGATCAAGTCCCGCGTTGGGCTCCCTGCGTGGAGCCTGCTTCTCCCTCTGCCTTTGCCCCATCTTTCTCTCTCTCGGTGTTTTTATGAATAAATAAATAAAATCTTTTAAAAAATTAATAAATAATTGCCTATTATACCAAATAGGTAAAGTGGATCTTTTTTATGCATTTTTAAAAAGATTTTATTTATTTATTCATGAGAGACACAGAGAAAGAGAGAGAGGCAGAGACACAGGCAGAGGGAGAAGCAGGCGCCACGCAGGGAGCCCGATGCGGGACTCGATCCCAGAACCCTGGGATCGCACTCTGAGCTGAAGGCAGATGCTTAACTGCTGAGCCACTTAGGCATCCCCAATTATTTATTAATTTAAGGAAGATAGTTTCCAGTGAACTTTTGTTTGAATACCTACCCACAGTTGTATCCTTTTTTTCATGCAAACTCTCCCCCTGATAACTGACCCTACTCCATCCAGATGGCTAGTGGAGTGAGATGGAGAGGTGCCTTGCTCTTCAGCCACCCTGCTCCCTCATCTTAAAAAATGTTCATATAAAATTAAACATGTTCATTAAAATGAACATTTAAAATGTTCATATAAAAGTTTTGGATAGCCAAATTGTATTTAATGGTATGAGGTAAACTCACAAGTCTAAATTGTTTTATGAAATGCAAAAGACTTCCTATGAAGGTATCAGTACTAAAGCCAGATTTCCCATTTATTAGGCTTACCTAACATAGCATTCTTACATCTCTAGAAAGCTTTCTAATCATCTTTCAAAAGGCCATGTTGTTTCCAACGTTAAAACATGCACAGCAATAACTACTTTCCACAAAGAGCATGTTCAAGCAGTAGACAAAGCATGCAGAATACTCTCCTTTTATCACACCAATACTGTCTGATGGGATTACAGCCAACTACAGGGCTCAAGTAGATTTAGATTTATCTGTAGATGGTGTAGTACATTTGCCTAATGCAGCGCCCTAGATTTTACAAATTACATTTACTGGTGTACTTGCAAGTCTGCAGATTTAAACATTTCCAAGGAGGACACAAGACATTTAGATAAAATAGTCTGTCTTGACCATCAATAAAAGCCCTATTTTGAGGCCACCTACTATCCTTTTGCTGTAATTTAGAATTTCTGTAAAGCATTTCTTGGCTTATAGCAGTAAGTGTTGAGCCAAGATGCTGATGTTCTATCTGCATTCAGACTGCACAAAAAGAATCCCACAAACCAAAGATCTGTTTGAAAGCTTTTAAGCCAAAAATGTCTATTGTGTGGCCTGTGATAGGCAGTGACTAAAGGAAACTTGAAACTATAAATAGCGCAGAGAACACCATATGCTTTGGGGGAAAATGTCTTGCTTAAAATGGCACAATGACACAAATCGACAATGTCCACATAATATCGAAAAGGTGAATATGAACCAACAAAAAAATTCTGATAGCTAAGATGAATTTATTCTCACTAAAAAGTTCAATATACCACCTTGATGCAGCGGTATGCACCGCACAGTGGCTCGGGTCTAACTCTCCATCATGATGGCACAAAACCCAAATGCAGAGGAATCTGATCCTGCTGGTGTGGTCCAGGGGCGCCAACAATCAACCTGGGGCACGCACAGGGCCAGAAAGGCCAGAAAGACTCCCATCGGGTTTCCTCACTGCCCCTAACAATCACTGCTCCCCCAAACAAACAAGTTCTTAAAAAGCTCCAACCTAAAAAAAGGAGAAAAGATCAGATTTGCTGGCGGTGTCCGCTAAGAAAGGTACAGGGATCACCTGTCAATGGGCAGGGAAAGTAAGGAGGTGTAAATGGCTTCCCGGGCCGACCCACACGCAGGCCACCGCACGCCAATCCCTTTCTGGAGTCAGGGCTTTCCGCCCGAGGAGCGGAGGGGCTCCTTCACCGCGCGCCAGGAACCCTCCAACCACTTCCCGGGGTGCGGGAGTGCGCAGCGGGCTGTACCGCAAACCTGAGACCAGACGCGGGCAGGGGGAAGGGGCTGCGAGCTGTCACCCCACGACCCTGCCGAGGCCCGTCCAGACACAAAGCCCGACGGGCGGGGAGAAGAAGAAAAGGACTGGAAAACACGTGGTGCGCAGCTCCGAGCGCTGCTCTCCCGCCACCAGGTGCGCTTGTACCGGAAAGCGGCGGACTCGTGCGCGGCCCCAGCCCCCACCGCCGCCCCGACTCCGGGCCCGAAAGGACCCCGACACAGGTTGGCCGAGCCGGGGCTGGCGACCAGGCTCGCGCAGAAATTAAGTTTCCAATAATACAACTTTAGACGGATCAGCACCGGCGTCGCCCTGTATCCGGGCCGCACTTGGGAGAGCGGCGCAGGGGGCGCGCAACGGGCGCGCGGCCCGGGGGGCCGGGGTCCCGGGCTGGGAGGCTCGCGGCGCCGTGGCCTCCTCCCCCGCAGGGGCGCCCCCCGCGCGTCGCCGCGCTCACCAGGTACCAGACGCCCAACAGGATGGTGCCGGTGCGGACATGGCAGCACAGGCAGCAGCTGTTGGAGTAGAACCGCGTCCAGGGCGCGACCATCTTCATCGCTCCCGCGGCGAGCGCTCCGTGGCGCGAGCGCGCGCCCAAGTTTGCAGGAGCGTCAGGCGCGTCGCTCCGGGCTGGTCGCGCGGCTGTTGCCGGCTCCCCCGCCGCTCCCCGCCGCCGCCGGGCCCGCTCGCCCGCTCGCCGGTGGCCTGTGCTCCGCGCCTCAGCCCAGACCTCCGAGCGGCTGCTGCGGCCGGACCCCGCGCTCCGAAGGCGGCGGGAGGAGGAGCGGGAGCGGGGAGAAGGGGGAGGGGCAGGCCACGTGACCCGCGCCGGGGCCGGTGATGTCACCGCGGGTTCCAGCCGGCTGCGGGGCGCCGCCGGCCGGGATAGAGAAGTCAATCATCCTGCGTCCCCGCGGCGGGTCCGGGAGCAGAGCCACGGTGGGGTTCCGGGCCTCCTGTCTTTCATGTGGTCATTTGTGTTACTCTGTCACTTTTATAGTCTGCTTGGTTGTGGTTTCTCCCCTTGCACTTCTGGGTTGCAGATAATCTGCAGATGCAAATGTTATCTTGCAAACTGGAAGGGGGAAAACTGCAGGGTGTGATTCCGGTCAACTGCGGTACTTTGAACCGCTGCTGGAGCCCAGAGCAATTTGTCTCCACTTCCCGGCTCAATTACTGTGGTAACAACCTTTTTCCCAGAAAATAGGATATGTGTCAAGGACATCCTCACTGTGCTTCGGTAGCATTTTTAATCATGGCTGCAGCTTGAAAGAAACAATCATCAAGCCAATTACTGCCACAAGGTCTCCGAAGGACACATCCTAGAGCTTTAAGAGGTACTGAAAGATAAGACTCCAGTTTGGGCTTATTTCCTCCCATTTGTTGTTTTGTCTCAAAGCACCCTTGTCCTGGGTTAGCCTGTAAGAGCCGTTTAAGCCAAGCATCTCATATGAGTGAGATTATTAGTGCTGGCAAAGTTTCATTTCAGACTTGGAGCAAGAGAAAATTTGATGGAGTTTAAGTTTCTTTAAAAAAATTTTTTTTAATTTGTTTATTTGAGAGAGAGAGGCAGAGGCACAGCCACAGGGAGAAGCAGGCTCCCTGAGGGGATCCTGATGCAGAACTTCATCCCAGGACCCTGGGATCATGACCTGAGCCAAAGGCAGATGCTCAATCACTGAGCCACCCAGGTGCCCCAGAGTTTAAATTTCTTAAATTCAGGTTATATAGAAGGGAAGGAAAATGTTAGATGAGGTTGTTTAAGTGCAGGACTAGTTACTTTTACAAGGCTGTAAAGTTGTCACATTCTTAGCATGTAGCTTAAACCTGGATCCAAAGGGACTGTAGAGTCATCCCCAGAGATGTCAGATGTCTTTAATTGGAAATAATAACACCATTGTAGGAGATAATCAGAAAGAAGGAAGAGATCAGTTTTTGTTTTGTTTTCTTACTACAAATTTCTGTTTCCTCTCACATATGAGATAACTTTCGCTCTGGGGTCTTCCATTTAATGTTTAGTTATACCCATAGTTACTTTTAAACTGCTATGGGACAAGCTGGAGTGCTCTGAGCGGGAATGGAAATAGAGAATCAGGATGGGGAATGCTACTTTCCAAATTCAAACTGCCAACATGTTCCTCTAGTCACCTCCAGCTTTGCTCTTCCCACTAGGATTTCAAATTCATTAGGCAAATGATTCATTGATTAAAGGAAACTTTATATTTCATAAAGTTGTTCAAGATCTGAATTTACAGACCCTTGCCAAATTGTTCTAGATAGGAAGAGAGATGGAGAGGAGAGAAAACCTGCTTGGAGAAAGGAGATAAGGAGAGAAACAACATATCTGCGAGCAAAGGTATGAAATAAAAGTTAATGTCACTGTCTCTGAAGTTGTATTTATTCAGATGTGAGAAGACCTGGAGGGATTGGCAAAAACAAATAAAATCCAAAAAAAACAAAAACCCCAGAAGCTTCCCAAGGAAATAGGTCACGGCTGGGTTGTTCATTCTCCAACAGTGGCATATTTACCTGGAATACTGACTGCAGTGGTAGTTCTTTAGACAGATCACCTTGTTCTTATCCCTAGGCACCTCAGCTTCTGAGGCCACATATGCTCTTTCTCTGCTTGAGCAAAGAAATGGCCTCTACCCTGGTCAGGTTGCCCTGCATGTCACCCACCTCTCCTCTCCCATTTATCTCTGTCTCCATGGTGCCTTTGTTACTGAGATGGGGAAACTGTAGGGACTCCCATTTACTCATGCTCCACATTTCACCTTGCATCTGAGTAAACCAAAGAAGCTATGTTCCCACCGCTAGGGGGAAGCAAGAAAAGTTCATCATTCTCTGCCTTTCATCCTAGGCCCCCAAATACCTGATAACATCTAAAAAGAACCAGATCCCAAACAAGTTGCAGGACATTTACTTCATTTTTTTTTAATTTTTTATTTATTTATGATAGTCACACACAGAGAGAGAGAGAGAGGCAGAGACATAGGCAGAGGGAGAAGCAGGCTCCATGCACCGGGAGCCTGACTTGGGATTCGATCCCGGGTCTCCAGGATCGCACCCTGGGCCAAAGGCAGGCGCCAAACCGCTGCGCCACCCAGGGATCCCCAGGACATTTACTTCAAACAAACCTCCTCTAACACTGGCATCCATACCATCCTCCTTCAGCGATTTATGAACTAATATCTATGGTTTACTTGACACACCTTTGATCCAACCCAACCCTGGATTCCTAAAGGAACACATACCCTGGACCCCTTTCCAATATAAACTCCTAACCCCAAGTGACAGGGAGGCTCACCTCTCCTTTTCCGAGTCCTCCAGACACTGCCATACTTTAGCACCTACGCTATCCAGTAAACTCTGCTCTCACTCCCTTCTGGCTCACAGTTGATTTCCATCCTTGGCAAAGCCAAGGACCATCTTAGCTGGTTGTGCCATTAACATTACCAAATGTTGAAGCCTTCTTACGTTTAGGACTTCAGGCCTTGCAACCTCTTCATCAGCCAGGTCCCTTCCCTTGCCTTGTTGTACTTCCCATTTTTCTCTCCCTAAATCTTCCCCTGGCCCCTTATTCCAAGGGCAGGTATTTTCCAGTGAATTGAAGGTAATTTTTCTTCCCATTAGATAAAGCCACTCTCCTTCTTTTTTCAAATATACGAATTATATTGCAAATCTATCTGTTAGTGATCCAAGATAACCAAGGTCAGTTTGAGTGGCGACTTTGTGTAGAAAATAACATAAAGGCTGCAAAGATGAGAACATTCTGCTCCTGCTCCCAAAGTTGACCATGTCATCCAGTAGGCAAGTCACCATGACACTAGTCGGAATGTGTGCTGAATATCCCTACAGGTAAAAACAAAATGAAATGGGAAAGCAGAGAGGGATCAATTACATAACAACTGTGGGGAGGTTAGCATTTCAGTTGGGCCTTGAAAGGGTGAGTGGAACATAGGCCAGGAAGATAGACATAGGGGAAGGAAGAAATATTTGATGCAGGACTTGCATAGGGCCAGACATTCTTTGGAGGTAGGGAAGGTCTCACCAGAGCTACCTCTATGACCTGGGTAAGGGTCTGTCCCATGAGAAACCTCAGGACCCCACTCAAAGACTGAGAAATTCAAAGAGCTACTACCGTCTACTATCCTGGAAAGGAAAAAGGGAAACAATGGCTGCCCTGGATGCATGGGAAAATGATTCCACATGCCTATGGCAGAGGGTGCTGTTGAATGTCTTCTTCAATGATTTAAGAACATCTCAGTCCCTGGTGGTACAAAAGAAAAGCTATAGGTCTCTCATGCACTCTCCAAATAAACCGGGGATCTGTTCATTCATGCAGTCATGAATCTGGTGAATGAAAACTTTCCTGGTATCTCCTTGGAGCTGAGTATGGTTGTCAGTTCAGAGAACATGAGATAGTTTCTATCTACAGGGATCTCACAACTTAAAGGGGGAAACAGAAAGATAAACAGAAAGTAACAATAGCAAGATAAATGCTACCGTATGTTTAGCCCCACATCTTGGTTCAGGGAAGATCAGGGAAGTGACATCTAGACTCATACCTGTGGGGTAAGTTGGAGTTGGCTAGGGAGAGAATCAGAGGACCACCTCAGACAGGATGGGAGCAGGACATGCATGGGCCTAGCATCTGGCAAGCTCACAAGTTTAGGAACAGCAAGTAGTATGATAGCTGAGAGGTAACATTTGAAGGGAAGGGGAGCAGAGTAGAGAAGATGGACTAAAGAAGTTTTAGGGGCATCTGTATAGGTGAGGGAGGTAACAGAAGATGAAAGCCTTAAAGCCTTTCATGCCGTGTTGCACTGAGAGGTTTGGAGCAAATTTCCTAAGGAAAATGCGGGGTTTCTGAACAAAACATTAAACCCATATGCATCAATGATCAATTAATGTCACAAGCTTCAGCACATAAAATGAGTCAGGACTGGCTATATTATTCGTGGGGTCCAGTGCAACGATGAGAATAGGGGTTGCTCTCGTTTAAAAGTATTAAGCAGGGGATCCCTGGGTGGCTCAGCGGTTTGGCGCCTGCCTTTGGCCCAGGGCGCAATCCTGGAGTCCCGATATCGAGTTCCGTGTCGGGCTCCCGGCATGGAGCCTGCTTCTCCCTCCTCCTGTGTCTCTGCCTCTCTCTCTCTCTCTCTCTCTCTCTCTCTCTCTCTCTCTGTGTGTGTGTGTGTGTGTGTCTATCATGAATAAATAAATCTTTAAAAAATAAAAATAAAAGTATTAAGCATTCCAAGATGGCAACATTAAACCATGTGTGGGCTGTTCCTAGCAGGAGACCCTGTGCTAGTACCCGAGTCACATACCTGTGAAGCTGGCCCTAGAGATAGGTCCCATGTCTGTCTTCAAATTAAAAACAAAACCAACAAAAGGGAAAGCCGTCAGATAACAACTGTTTCATGGAAGCTGTGGTCAATGCCAATTTTATAGGGATGTGTGGAAGAAAATTAGTATGTCAGGTGATTTATCGAAGAATCTGGATCTTGTCCCAGTGGAGGATCAGGTTTATGAAGGTCAGAACATGGAGCTGGCTCCAGGCAGGAATTGCAGCCAATGTGGAAGTCAAAAATTACGATTGATGCGCTCTCAGAGAGGCATGTAATTAATCATATATTTATTAAAGCACACATTTGGGGTTTGGTCACATTCTGGATGGGGGTTGTGAGAAGGAATGTATAAGACACAATCCCT